TCCCTTCCCAGGCTCGAACAGGAAGCGGGATCACAGACATGTGAGAGTGAAGAAACCTGACTACAAGGTGGCCTACGTGCAGCTGGTGAGCCCAGGGCCGGGGCGCAGGTACACTCTAGGAAGCAGGCAGGACTGGGCCCCCCAAGTAGAGCTCGGGGCCTTCAGCCCCGCGTGGTCTCTGCTCTGCAAAGGTCTGGCACTACGGCCCGTGGAAGCCCAGAGAGGCCGTGGATGTGGCCAGCATGCATGACCAAGCCTGTGTCGGGGCCCTGTGGTCCAGTGGGTGTCCACACAAATGCCTCTGCTCTCTAAAGACCTGGTGCCACACCCAGTAATTTGCTGTGCTCAGACCCCAGACCCTCTGTGGGCCTGCCTGTGCGGGTGGCGGCACGCGGCCACTAGATGGCAGTAGCGCTATTGGGAACCCCAGGCGGCCACCTGGCCTGAAAAGCCTTTTCAGGCAAGACGTGGGGACAGCGCCTTTCTGAGAGAAAGGCCCCTTGTTCCAAGCAGGGACCCCTACGTGCCTGACCTAATATTTGCTGTGCATCCAGCGGGCCCATCGGGGCGCCCTGCGCGGCCCCTGCTTTTGAGAGGCCTGTGTGACCTAGCAGGAGGCAGGCCACAGTGACAAGTTGCTTTTCAGTGATCTGAGGCCCCTGCGTTTGCTCAGCCTCCTCCGACCACCGTGGGGAAGCTGGCCTGCTGGAGGCTCCCCCTGCCCCCCCCCTGCAGCCCCGACCACCTTTGAACTGCCCCCACAGTTGCCAGACTTGTGTCTAAGCAGGGGAGCAAGTAGCCGGTCCCTTCCCCGCTGATAAAGGGGACATCGGGCTGGAGGCCCCCCTTGCCACGTGTCCCCTCGCCCCCCAACTGCGCTTCCAACAACAGCATGCTGTCTCACACATGCAGGGGCCGTCGGGGGCACACACTCAATTAGTGCGTTTATTTTGAGCCGGCTCCCAGGCCCTGGAAGCCCCGAGTCCTTCTGATAAACATCTCTGGCCCAAGCTGCCTCCACCGGGGACCTCGAAGCTCTGACCCCCGGCCACGGGCTGCTGTGTAGAGGCGGGGGTGCGGAGATGGGCCTGTTTCCACGGGAGTTTCCGCCCTTTACTGGCGGGTCCAGCCCGAGGGCGCACAGTGAGTGCCGTTGTGTCTCAGGGCCAAGGTTTCTTTTGCCAGGAGCAGGGGTCGCCAGGAGCCCCCTGGTGACCACAAACAACGCCCCCCTGCAGCGAGAAGCCCAGGCCCCACCCTCCCCGAGCCTCCCAGGGTCCCATTGTCACAGGTTGTCATGTTTAGCCAGCTCACTGCAGTAAACGCACCCCTGCCCGGGGAGCCCGATGATGCGTGCAGAGGGGCTGTCTGGTTTTCTGGAGGACAGGGCCCCCCTACCCCATGTGCCAACCCCTCGCCAGCCCTGCTGCACCCACAGACTTTGCCTTTCAGGGGCCCCCGGCCGTGGGGAGGGGTTTTCAGGTCCTACCCACCCACCAGAGGCTTGCTCCCTTGGACATGGCTGCCTGCCCTTCCCCACCGATCGGGGTTCTCCCAGGGCTGGCCACATGGTCCAGCAGACTCATTAAACACCCCCAGGCCCCGGGGTCTCCCCTGCCACACACAGCTCGTCCCCACGCCAGTTGCCTGAGCGGCTGGGTCCACCTGTGTCTGTGAGGGCCGGTGGCCAGGCTGCCGCCAAGACCCACATGGGTGCTGTGGGCCTCTGCCGCTCAGCTTCCCGGCTCCTGGGACTGGGGCCCCAGCGCTGGGGGGGGGACGTGAGCAGGCAGCACTGCGGTGGTCCGTGTGGTGGGGTGGCGCTGAGGCTCCTCTTCCTGCCTCCAGATAAGAGCTGAGCTGTTTGTTTTCCAGGCAGATAGGGGCCGGGGCCCAGCCGGCTGCCTGGCAACGGAGGCGAGGGAGAGCGGTGTTGTCCGTCTGTCTGTGTTTTGGCCTGTTGTTATCAGAGGGTGACAGGCCACCCCCGCCCCACAGGGCACTTCTAAAGGGCTGGGAGGTGGGCAGGGGGGCAAGCGGCCTCACCATGGAGGCTCCAGAAGGCTTGGAGGCAGGGGGCAGGGAGCGTTCCCAGAGGGCCCCGGGCAGGGCTGCGGGGTCAGCACCAAGGCCCAGCCCTAGCGTGGCCGGTCTCCTCCGCAGGCTCACGGACAGACCTTCACGTTTCCAGAGCTGTTTCCTGAGCAGCCGCCGGACGCCAAGGGCAGCGAGGACTTGGACCTCCAGGACCACCTCCTGGAGCAGGAGCAGCAGAGACAGATCAGTGACCCCCGGCGCGGCGGGGTCCCCTCCTGGTTCAGCCTGTGACAGGGACCCAATAAAAGCCGTGCTGTGCAGACCAGCGCTGGCTCGTCTCTGTGGCCAGCATCCGTACCCGCCTGCAGCCCAGGGCCAGGGTGGGGGTTCTGCTCAGCAGGGGCACCTGGCTCCCAGAGCCAAAGGGCTTGGGTGCAACACCTAGCCTGACCCTGCGGGGCTCCAGCAGCTATATGCGAGGGCCCAAGGAGTGGTCGGTGGGGGCCTGACTGTCCAGGCCAGAGGGTGTGGCCAGGGCTACACTACTCTGTTGTGATGGACACGTCCACGGGTCCTGCACCCAGAGGAGCTGGGCCTTGCTGGGAGGGAGCCACAACCCACCGCCCCAGCCGCCAGGCCGTGTGTGGCATTGCCATCTCCTGGGGTTCCCGGGACAGCGAGTGACCCTCCCCCCAGCCACCCACTGTCACCTGGACCTCCCCCACTCCAAATACCCATCAGCTTTCCCAACCGACTGAGTACGCCGCCCTAGTCCTCCCTCCACCCGGGTCCCAGCGCCCTCCACACGCGGCCCACCACGGCTGCCACCGCGCTGCTTTGTTGGGTTTCTAAAGCCGATTTGGGTTTGCAGGGAAATGGCACAGCGAGGTCCCCCGTGCCCTGTGTTGCTAGCACGTTGTGCCCGGACCCACTGGGTACAGTAAGGGGACATCATCATGAACTGGCCGCCGCCCTGGGAGTTTCCCTGCTCCACAGGGTCTGCCCCAACAACCCCCTGGCCCTGCTGACCACGTCCGTCCGTCCCTCTGCCCTGGCCTCTCCCAGATTCTCCTGTCCCTTCCCAGGCTCGAACAGGAAGCGGGATCACAGACATGTGAGAGTGAAGAAACCTGACTACAAGGTGGCCTACGTGCAGCTGGTGAGCCCAGGGCCGGGGCGCAGGTACACTCTAGGAAGCAGGCAGGACTGGGCCCCCCAAGTAGAGCTCGGGGCCTTCAGCCCCGCGTGGTCTCTGCTCTGCAAAGGTCTGGCACTACGGCCCGTGGAAGCCCAGAGAGGCCGTGGATGTGGCCAGCATGCATGACCAAGCCTGTGTCGGGGCCCTGTGGTCCAGTGGGTGTCCACACAAATGCCTCTGCTCTCTAAAGACCTGGTGCCACACCCAGTAATTTGCTGTGCTCAGACCCCAGACCCTCTGTGGGCCTGCCTGTGCGGGTGGCGGCACGCGGCCACTAGATGGCAGTAGCGCTATTGGGAACCCCAGGCGGCCACCTGGCCTGAAAAGCCTTTTCAGGCAAGACGTGGGGACAGCGCCTTTCTGAGAGAAAGGCCCCTTGTTCCAAGCAGGGACCCCTACGTGCCTGACCTAATATTTGCTGTGCATCCAGCGGGCCCATCGGGGCGCCCTGCGCGGCCCCTGCTTTTGAGAGGCCTGTGTGACCTAGCAGGAGGCAGGCCACAGTGACAAGTTGCTTTTCAGTGATCTGAGGCCCCTGCGTTTGCTCAGCCTCCTCCGACCACCGTGGGGAAGCTGGCCTGCTGGAGGCTCCCCCTGCCCCCCCCCTGCAGCCCCGACCACCTTTGAACTGCCCCCACAGT